ACTGAGCCACCCAGGCGCCCAAGCCAATGAGTTTTTAAGAGCAGCCACCATATGGCAAATTGTTTCCAGGAAAAATGTTCTCATTATCAGAAGGATGGTAACTTGTGCATTTTTACGCTTGAATTTGAAAAGCAACAAAACCATCGCTAACATCCAGATGTCAGGGGATTTGCAAAGTAGCAGATATGGTTAATGTCCAAGCTCCTAAAGGACATTAGTGGTGCCTGCGCCTTCTTACCTTCATTGTCCCAAGATGTAATCGGGTATGTTGCATCATTCAAGTTGTAAGAATGGACATGTAAGTACAAAAGTAGAGTAGTATCTTTGGAAATGAGGAATATGAGCAAAGTAATTAGGATAATTTGAAAAGAAAATGTCATCAGTCTTTTAAACAGTATTTATTGGCTGCAGCTCTTAGGTATTTAGTACTGTCACTGGCACCAAGGAGTTTATAAAAATGCATAGCCTTGATAACAAGGAATTTATGATATTTACGGGGAAGACAAGATTAAAACACATGGGACAACAGGAGAATAATATAATAATGGGCAAATAAATGCTAAATTGATTGAGACTTTCAGTATATATTATAGGAGAAGAGATGATTTATATATTCCAAATTACGAGGGAAGATATTGAAGAGGAATGGGTACTTAAGCTGGGCCTTGCAGGGTGGCCAAGACTTGGTTAGACAGGAACTAAAACATAGATTCCAGTTTGAATGAGGGATATAAGTAAGTAAAGACAAAGGCAATAGGAGGCTGAGAAAATAAAGTTAATACTCTATTTGTTATTATGGGAAAAGCACCACACTTTTGGAAAGGAGAAGGGGAAGCTACCTCTGAAGGATGAAAACTAAGATTATGTGATTGCTTTGATCAAAAGAAAGGACATAGTTTTTGCCTTCTGCAAACTTGGTAGCCCTGAAAGCTGAATTTTTTGGGTTGAAGGGGTAAAAGACATTTTCAGTGGGAAGACTAACATCAGAGTACAATGCATGGCCCAATGATGAATAATTTAGAAAGCCTAAGGATAAAGTGGAAAGATGAAGAAATCTGGTTTCACAGCACTTTTGAGGTTGATGCCAAGTAGAAATTTGATTTCAAGATGTATGCAGCAGTTTCTTTAGGTCATTCCCTGAAGAATGGTTCTCTGAAGATTCACCTGGGATGAAAGCCATAATGTTTGGATTCCTTTGAGATTAGGGAAGTACCTAAGGAATGTCCTGTCTAAATTGAATATCCCATCACTGTTCCCAGTTTATTGATGTGTAAAGGAAGAATCATAGCGTAGGCCCCTAAAAATGGGAAGATTATTGAGTTCTTCTCAGAAAAGAGAACATTCACTATAAAAAAGGACAAAGTGTAATCATTAGATTTCCTTAATGCAGCGTCTTTGTCTTAAAGTTGAGATATAAGCCTGTTCTAAAAATGGCCAATTTAGGAATCTACATTGTTATTTGGTTTCATAAGGTTTTTTTTAAAGTCTAAAAGGTGATTAAGTACCCCATGTTTGTGAATTAAAGGTTGCAATTTATACAAAATAACACTACATTGTTTGCTCTAAATGATATTACAGCCTGCCCTAGTTTTCTGTGAATGGTCAGTAAAAGAACAGTTCACACTAGGACCTCTAACCTTCGTTTTCTTTTACTGATTTGTATTTCTACAGCATGATCAGGAAGGTTTATTGAGCATGGCAAATGCAGGCTGCAATACAAATGGTTCTCAGTTCTTTATCACAACAGTCCCGACTCCTCACTTGGATGGGAAACATGTGGTATTTGGCCAAGTAATTAAAGGAATGGGTGTGGCAAGGATACTGGAAAATGTAGAAGTGAAAGGTGAAAAACCTGCCAAAGTAAGTAAAAGTTACAGTGAAATACACTTGTTATCTTAATTACTGTCTTAAAGAGATGTAAGTAAAAGGATCAGATGATTATTAACTGCGAAAATGTTAAGATGACTTTTGGCATAAAAGCCTAGACCTGCCACTTTTTCTTGAAACTTTTCTACAGTGGGAAGGATAACATCAGGGTAATTTAAAAAGAGATTTTTATTATTTCCACTTCAATTTTGGTGATTTTTTTTGTAGGTTTCTTAACTCTTCTATACCTGCAAAAGTTTGAATCAGTATGTACACTAGTCATAGTAGGAAGAGGATAGGAAACCAAGAATCCTGTTGAGACTCTGCTGTTTAACTGGTGGTTTGGCCTTGATCTGGTTATTTAAATTTTCTGGGCATGTTTCTTCATCTTATATAAATTTCTTTAGGGTTTAGACTAGATTATGTAACTCTAAAGAGCCTTGTGTTCTAAATGTCTGTGAAATCACAGTGGCCACAAAACTACCTAACCTAATTGGCAGGGCTGTGATTGGGAATTGGAAACTGAAATACCTGCAGGAAGTAGGCTGTCGCCATTGTATGAAAGAAACAGTAGTGGAATTGAAAGGACATGCCTCACCTAAAGAAAATTACATGAGAATGATAGTATTTTCAACATATTCTTCGTATACTGAGCTGCTGAATAGCAGTAAAACACTTTCCTAAAATAGTGTCATGGTATTACTGAGAATGTATGTATATAAAGGGCATTATTGTAATTAGAGCAGATAGAGGAGACTTCTGTCAATCTGTCATTTGAGAAGTGACTTGGACAGTGTTGCACATGACTGACAGCTGTATAGCTTTTAAACCCAGATTTCTTGTTTTTAATCTCATTAATATGGTAGTAGACCTCTACAATTTAGGATTATTTTTACAGTTGTGCGTTATTGCAGAATGCGGAGAATTGAAGGAAGGGGATGATTGGGGCATATTCCCAAAAGATGGCTCTGGTGACAGTCATCCAGACTTCCCTGAGGATGCAGATATAGATTTAAAAGATGTGAGTACTTTCAGATTAGTCAAATTTTAATTATTAAAAATAGTACTAAAATTTTGAATTACTCCTATCAATCTGTCTTAGTGATAGAACCTAGCATTAAACCACATTAATTACTAAAATGCAACATATTTGTATTTTTTAATACAGGTAAATAAAATTTTACTAATAACAGAAGATGTAAAAAATATTGGAAATACTTTTTTCAAATCTCAGAACTGGGAGATGGCCATTAAAAAATATGCAAAAGTTTTAAGGTAATAAAGTATTCTTAATTAATTAATTCTAAGAGTTTGTAGGTTGAATTATAAACTGAAATTCAGAGTTGTTTATTGTCTTTTTGGCAAAATTACTTTGCAGAATAATAACCAGCTGTGTTGAAATAGTTTCACATCTTTTGTTTCCTCCAGCTTCTTACTTTGAAAAATTTCAAAATACAGGAAAGTTGAAAGAATAGTATATGAATACACCTGTACCTTTATTTCTTTACACTATTTTTAACTCTTACTATATTTGTTTTCGTAGAATCATTTTGAAAGGAAGTTACAGATACCATGACACTTTACCCCTAAATAGTTGAGCAGGTAATTCCTAAGAAACGAAAACGTGCTTCTACATAACCTTGATACAATATTATCTAATATGTAATCCATGTTCGAATTTCCACAATTACTTCAATTTTCTTTTTTTAGTCCAGAGTCCACTGTATCATTTGGTTTTATGTCTTTAGTCTCTTATCTTTAGTAGTCCCTACTCTGCACTAGGTTTTTGTAGTCATTTGTATCTTGTGGAGTCTTAAGTCAGTTGTCTTATTGAATACCATCTGTATTTATTTGATTACTTCCTCAAGATTAGTTTGAGGTTAAATATTTTGGTAAGAGGACTTAAATCGGTGGTGAATATTTCCTTTGATATCACATCCTGAAGGCACACGTCAGTTTGACCTATTTTGAGTTTTGGCACTTGGTTAAAGTGGTGTCAGCCAAATGCTTGTGTCATAAAGCTACCTTTCCCTTTCGTAAATAAGTACTTCATGAGGTGATCCTGTGAGATTGTGTGAATATCCAGTTCCTAACCTTTCTTTCATTCAGTGGGTTTTTGCATCATTGAAGATCCTTCCCTGAATCAATTACTATACTGGTCACAGAACTGATGTTCTAATTTTTTCATTCTGCAGTTATTTTCTTGCATTCTAATGTTTACAAGAGCCTCTTCCTTCTCCCCAGCCCTTTTTAGTATTATATACTTGGGATTTTTTTTAAGTTCAACCTATTATACTATCATTCTTTTTGATGTTCAAAGGGTTCCAAATTTGTCCAGTGGAAGCCCCCTTTTCCTGTATCCTTTGGACATGTTCCTATTAGTCTGTGAGCACTTGCTTTCTGGTAAAAGGTGTTTCAGTTTCATCTTTTACTAAACTGTTTCCAGATCTGGTATTAGCAGTTTCTCCAAGGAGCCCTGGTTCTTGGTTCTTTTTATTGGGGGATAGATTTTAGAAACCATATTCTGAGGGCCAGGTGTGTCCATTGTTTCTGGGCCCTTTTCCGTGGGCAGAGCCAGGAACTGTATTCAAATACAGTTCAAAATCAACACTGCAAAGGTTCTTCACCTTGCCTCATTCCATTCTCTCTCCCACGGTGACAACCTTGGCCCAAACATACTTAACGTTGGAAAATACATAATGGAGACCTGAGCTTTAAAAATTGGGAAGTGTTAGTAGTGCATAATTATCTTTAGATTTGAGGAATGCTGTTAAATTGGTTTCTTTGAATACTTGGGGGAAAAAAGTTGGAACAAATAAAAATCTTCTAAAGGAAAATAAGATTGTGATCATTAAGAATATTAATATTAGCATTTGATGAGCTTTTTATATCAGAAATGACCTAACACTTTTTGCCATAGTTGAAGGAGCAGAGTAAGTTGTGTGTGGCATTATATGCTACCTTTATTAATGTATTCTCCAGATATGTGGAAGGTTCAAAGGCTGTTATTGAGAAAGCAGATAGATTGAAGCTGCAACCTATAGCTTTAAGCTGTGTGCTGAATATTGGTGCTTGTAAACTGAAGATGTCAAATTGGCAGGGAGCAATCGACAGTTGTTTGGAGGTAAGTCTCTTTAACATCAGACTTTTTGAAGGAGTGGGATTATGATTTTTCAACTTGAAAAACAATTTTATGTACAGTAATATATTTTATTACAGAGGACCAAATGAGACTTGATGAAGCATAACTTAAAAGTCATTTTATCTCTAAATATTTTGGACCTTCAGTTCTTCTGTTAATCCATTTATTTAGCTGATGACATTATGTAACTTAATATCTATGAAGATACTTTCCTTTTTTCCTCAGAGCACATGTATCAGTTCATTTATTCATTGAACATATTGAGCACCTTTTGTGTGCAGGGCATTGGAATATGGGTTGCAGAGCTAGTCAGACTTGGTGTTTTTGTTAGACTTCTGTCACTAACTTTGTGATCTTGGTTAAGTCCTAATTTTAGAGTTTTTTTTTTTTTTAAAGATTTTATTTATTTATTTGAGAGAATGAGAGAGAGAGCATGAGAGGGGGAGGGTCAGAGGGAGAAGCAGACTCCCTGCCGAGCAGGGAGTCTGATGCAGGACTCGATCCCAGGACTCCAGGATCATGACCTGAGCCAAAGGCAGTCGCTTAACCAACTGAGCCACCCAGGTGCCCTAATTTTAGAGTCTTAACATCTTTATATTAAATGAAAATAATCCGTGCCTCACAGGATTGTTACAAAGATTATATAACATATGTAAACCATTTAGCATAGTTTTGGGCACATGTTAGGCATCTAATAGAGATTAGGTGCTTTAATTAAAAGACTCAGACTCAGACTTGTGTTCCCTCTCTCACTGTCTATCAGAAAATAAATAAAAATCTTAAAAAAAAAGGGGGGGGGGAGCATATAATAGAGGAAAAAACTTATCCAAGGAAACGATGGGTCTTCACTCTGGATTTCTTTAAGTAGGCTCCACACCCAACATGGGGCTCGAACTCATGACCCTGAGATCGAGTCGCATGGTCTTCTGACTGAACCAGCCACGTGCCCGAACTCTGGATTTCTTTTTGACCTTTGAGAGGCAGATAATACAACTTTTTCAGTAAAATTTTAGTATTGACTTTTAGAAGATGTGAAGTAAACAAAATTATTTGTAATATGTTTATTTCAAAGGAGAGACCTATTCAACTTTACTCACACTCCTTAAAATACCCTGTAGGTTTTTGTTTTTTTTTTTAAAGATTTTATTTATTTATTTGACAGAGAGAGACAGAGAGGGAACACAAGCAGGGGGAGTGGGAGAGGGAGAAGCAGGCTCTCTGCCAAGCAGGGAGCCCAATGTGAGGCTTGATCCCAGGACCCCGGGACTATGACCTGAGCCGAAGGCAGAAGCTTAACGACTGAGCCACCCAGGCGCCCAACCCTGTAGGTTTTAAGTAAAAGAGTGTAACAAATTTTTTATTCATAACAGTTTCCTGTTATCATTTAGGGCCCAATCAGGAGATAGAAACTATACAGTAATTTGAAAAGAGAAATTTTAATATAAAAGAGTATGTAAGAGGGGATTGGAATAATGAGGGAATGGCTAATAAAGAGAATTCTAAAGAATATGGGAAAGCAGATATATAGATCTGCTATATATATGGAGCAGTCACTCCCCCTAGGCTAGGATGAAGCCCCCAAGGAAGAGGCACTTCATGACAGCCCCTAGGCTGATGTCCAGATCTCACTGGGGAGGGGGGATGGCTGTGACTTACTGGGTGGCAGAGAAGTTCACTGGCTACCATACTTATGGGACTCTGCTGTAGTGCTTGGGTAAGTTGCCTGCAGTGAGCTGCTGTGTGCTCTCTACCAAGCTCAATGCAGGAGCCTGCAAGAAGTGTACTGGAACCTGGAAGAGAAACAGCTTTTTTCGTCTGTGTCCTTTTGGTGCCCTCTACTGATAAAATGTAATGTGCCCGCTGGCAGAGAGAAGAAATTTACAGGGTCCATCCAGCTCCATTATCACAGAGCAGTGAAGGGTTGATTTGGAGTTGACTGGCAATAAATTGAAATTTAGTACATATATTTAATAATATTTAGGTAAAAATATTAATTTTATAATTTCTTGTAGGCTCTTGAAATAGACCCATCCAATACCAAAGCATTATACCGTAGAGCTCAAGGATGGCAAGGATTAAAAGAATACGATCAAGCATTGGTAAAATTTTGTTCTAAGCTTTAATATTTTTAGACAATCACCTTCATAAATCATGTATCTAATATTTTTTTAAATGTCTTTTTTCAATTAAAGGCTGATCTTAAGAAAGCTCAGGAGATAGCACCGGAAGATAAAGGTAAGTTGGCAATTTTTATGGTCAAAGTTCATTTTGTCCTGTTAAGAATGTATCTTTATGAACCATTGTACCCTTTGCCATTTAGATATTTGTTCAACAGATACTACATAATGACTGTTATTGGTACTGATCATATGGCAGTGAACAAGTCAAGGTCCCTGTTCTCAAAAGAGCTTACATTCTAGTTACTCTTCAGAATACTGATTTTCACATACCCAAATATTTTTCTCTCATATCATTTGAGATCTGGTTCCTGTTACTTTAATTCTAGTTGAAAGCACAGCAGTAAAAGATACAGTATTTATGATGAATTTAATGTCTGGGACCATTCCTTAAGCTGAATGAGGCCATAATACAAGTATTCTAGTTATGGATGTGTATTTTAGGAAAGCTTTGGAAAGTTAGGACAAAAATTAGTTTGTTTTTTTCAAATACGCCTGCTACAAATAGTGATACGAGATCTAGATATTAAAATATATCTTCAGTCTCTCACTGCTAAAGTAAAACAGGGGAGGCACTTAATTGCCTTCTCTCATAGGGAGAGAGAAGGCAAATCTACACATAATTCAGACTTCTCTCAAATTGACAATCTTCTAAAGTTATGTTTCATGGTTTTTGTGTTTGTGTAATTGCTTTGTCAGTAAAATAGTCTATTGAGCTCAGTTACTTTAGAGAAGAGTTGTATCAACGGGGAGAATTAACTATCATATGTAAAACATTAGTTGTTGGGCATCCTAATTTTTTGGATGTTTTGAGAAATAACCCCTATTACGTATTTATTTTACAGCTATCCAGGCAGAATTGCTGAAAGTCAAACAAAAGATAAAAGCACAGAAAGATAAAGAGAAGGCAGCGTATGCAAAAATGTTTGCCTAGTAAGAAATTCAGTTTTATTTAAATATGCATTGATTGTTATATAAAGGCAGTAAGAAAATTTAAAGGTTTTTGTCAGTTATATATGATCCCTGATGTGTTTCCTTTGATACTTCAGTTTCCCATTGTTTACATTTCAGGAATACTGAAAAGAGTTCACTCTTAATAAAACAGTGTTACAAAATACAGTGAAGTTTGATTTTTTTTTAAATGGCTTTCTGCATTAATCACAAAGAATAATGGTGTCTGTTATTCTAAACTCGGTACCTGTTTCTAAACTCCTGAAGACACATCTTGTTGAATAAACAGTTTAAAGCTTAAGTTTGTATACTGTTTCCCTCAATTCTTTGATGTATTTCTCTGTGGTTGGTTTTTGCTGGTGTTTTGTACTTATGTACAAAATATTCAGGGGTCAACACACTTTCTCCAAAGGGCCAGATAGTAAATATTTTAGGTTTTGTGGACCATTGTCATCTGTCACAACTACTCATTTCTGCAGTTGTAGCCACAGACCGTATGTAAACCATTGGGTATCATGTGTTCCAGTAAAACTATTCATGAGAAAAGTGGTGGGCTGGATGCTAAACTCTGGTATAGAATATACATTTATATTTGAAGTTTTGAATTTGACAAGTCAAATCTACATTAAAGGCCAGTAGTGTATTTGCTATTGGTACTGAATCTTTGAAGAATTATAGAGGTAAGCAGATGCTACCTCATTTGTAAAGTTTTATGTAGGAGGAATATTCATCATTTCGGGTTTAAGTATAAAATGTTTATTTCTTTGATAATTTTATGAACATTCTGATCAGTAATATGCAGTAAAATATTTTGACACCTGTTGACTTCTTAACATTTAAAGTTAGTTTGCCATACGTTTTATTTTTTTATTTTTTTTTTTTAAAGATTTTATTTATTTATTTGAGAGAGAGAATGAGATAGAGAGCATGAGAGGGGGGAGGGTCAGAGAGAGAGGCAGATTCCCTGCTGAGCGGGGACCCCGACGCGGGACTCGATCCCAGGACCCCGGGATCATGACCTGAGCCGAAGGCAGTCGCTTAACCGACTGAGCCACCCAGGCGCCCTGCCATACGTTTTAAATAAACTATCAAACGTGCCTGCAAATGAAATCAGTTGCAGTTTACATTCCATTGTAAGCAGGTCCTCCACCACCTTCGGGTACCACCCAGTTAATATTCTGACTTGGATCTTTAATATCACATGTTTTACAGTGCACGCAGTTCTGAGCATTTATCTGTAACCGAAATCCATCACCTTGTTCCAAAGGTACAAATTCATAAACTCCTATAAGGAAAAATAAATAATATTGTGAAGTACCTGTTTTAACTTCTGAGATTCAAAAGTAGAAATTGAAGTCCTGGAAACAGTAGCTACAGAAACCTTGAAGGTTTGTTTTCTTAATGTTTACCCATAGAGAATATTATGAAGATCTTGGTGTGTGCTATTGCTATTAGTATAAATTAAGTATGGATAAAAGCAGAAAGTATACAGTTATTTGGCCGAGTTAGTCTTACTAAATAAGGGAACAACATTTAGCAATTTTTGAGTTCCAATTTTATATGTGTGTTACAACTAAAAAGACAAATTGGATCCAATGCTTACCCCTTGAAGAGTTTACAAACCAGTGTAAGGACAGAAATGATTTAAAAAGTCAAAAGACAGTCAGGGTCCCTGCCCTCAGAGTTTACATTCTAATTCTAGTCCCTCCAGAATATACTGATTTTCATATATCTGCATACTGTTCTACCATATTAGAGATCCAGTTCCTATTATAATTCTAATTGAAAGTTTACATTAAAGGATAGAGTATTCATGATGAATTTAATGTCTGGGACCATTTTTTGAGCTGAATGTGGCTATACCCTAATGTTTTAGTATAGATATAATGTGTGTGTGTGTGTGTAGGAGCAGCCATGACAAATGATTTAAGTCATGTGAACATGGAAAGAGGTATTAGGTGTTCCATAATCCTTGGTCTGAGGGTAAGGTAAAGGCTTTTTTTTTTTTTAAACTCATGACCTGGAGATCAAGACCTGAGCTGAGATCAAGAGTCAGCCACTTAACCAACTGAGCCACCCAGGTACCCCAGGAAAGGCTTTGAGAAATGTCAACTGCATTAGGCTTACCAAAAATTCCCTATTACTTTAGCATTGCTAGAGTAAGAACCACAAAAATGAGTTTTCTAATGGAAGCTGGATGTACGGGGTCATTTACAGTTTCCATGCAGTGGAAGGAGACATTTCTTAAAATAACGGTAGCATATTTCCAACATGGTTAAAACAAATACGTGTTTTAGGAATGGACAGAAATCACTGGACAGAAATCACATTACTGACCTGCAGGGCAGAATCGCTGCTCCGGTCCATCATATATTGACAGATTTCTATTTACAGGAATACTGTCGTCCTTTAAGGTTAAATGTGCTGGCTGGTCATGTTCATGGTTAGTACCACTCAGAGCCACAGATGACAAAAGGTCAAAACTGATCTGTCCATCGGGTTTGGGATACTCAATAGGTGTGCAGTCCTTGGCTGGCTTGAGCTGATCAGAGTCAGAACCTTAAACAGTTTTGAGGAAGATTTTGAATAAAAATAACACTAATGTAAAAGTACTTTCTCAAACATTTTTATGAAAACTTGAAGATATTATACCAAAGAAGTAAGACTTTAGTCCTCTTATAGTAATGATATAGATTAAAGATACTGAATTTACTATTTCTCTAATAAAACAAGTTTGAAACAAAAAACTCACTTTATTACTTAATGGATCCTATTCGTGAGGTTTAAAAAAAATAAATTTTTTTTTTTTTAAAGTTAACTCTACCCTCAACATGAGGCTAGAACTCACAACCCCAAGATCAAGAGTTGCATGCTGTACTGAATGAGCCAGCCAGGCGCCTGCATTCATGAGTAGCATGAATAATGATTATAATATTCATACTCAAATATGTTGGAATTACCTTTATGTTTTAGAGTCCACGGCTCCATTCCTCTCAATATCCAGTAAAAGACTCCAGTGTAAAGCATCCCGCCATATACACCCAGTATCCCATGGCAGGATGGTCTGATATTTCTAACAGTGTATAGCTCTTTCCACACCCAGGATTTCTTTATATTGTCTTCATATTCAGGTACATGAAGTCCTTTTGTTAAAAACATGAAATTAACTGTTAAGTGTCAAATTACCTTAAGGAGTATAAAATACTTTATCAGGAAGGTATTTTGCTACTGAAATACCTGATGAGTGAATCTTAAATTTAAACAGGTGGTCATGTAAGACCACACTTGAAGACTCTTTCACATACAAATGCTGGCATCTTTCAAGAAAGAAGATAACCATTTGATATATGTTAACAGGTGGTAACGCATTGATTTCTTAAACTTAGTAGTATGGAAAATTAGTTTTAAAATTCAGTGAACCTGAAAAGGTTAAAGAGTACATGCTACCTATAAAAGTGAAAAATTTTTATAGTTGATTAAATGAAACACTTCTACCTGTTAAACGTTGAACTGTGCCCCCCCCCAAAAAAGATTATTTTCAAGTCCTAACCCCCAGTTATCTCAGGATGGGTCACAACAGGGTCACTGCAGATGTAATTAGTTGAGGTCATACTGGAATAGAGTGGGTCCTTAATCCACCAACTGGTGTCTTCATGAGATACACAGAGAAGAGAGGAGAAGACGGAAGCAAGAGATTGGAGTTATTCTGCCAAAAGCCAAGGAATGTCTGGGGCTCTCAGAAAGCTGGGAGGGGCAAGAAGACTAAAGACAGGAGAGAGTAAGGTGCTATCAACACCTTAATTCTGAACTGCTAGCCTACAGAACTCAGAATAAACTCCTGTTGTTTTATGCTGTCCAGTTTGTACTTTGTTGTGGCAGCCCTAGGAAATTTATAATACTGAAAATGGTGCATGCATTTAATATTTAATGGGACAAACTGGTTCTTCTTACTAACTTGCCCAAACTCCGTAGTGGCTATACACTTTGCAGTCACTGTTCTGTTCTGGCTCCATTCCCTTTCCCTCAGGCTTTAATCCTCCCTCTGTCTGGTCTTTGTGGATCTACTTGCACCAGTACTGTCTGTGCTGGTACTGTGTGTACATGAAGTGCAAGTATGGCTTGTGGTCCCAACAAGGAAAGCCACTTGGCAAGAAAATGAGAAAAAAGTTCCACTACTCAACAATTACACTTACCTATTCTGTTCTCTCTGGCCTCGCCTATGTTCTACCTATCCCCTTCCTCTCCCACAACCTAGGCCTCCATTTCTACAAAGACATTTGAAGGCATAATCAGGTTTCATATTTCTCCCTGGAGGAACATTTGTTTTCTGGAATTCTAAGGAATAAGGTTTATTTATCAAATATCTACTAAGTTGTTACTATGTGCCAGGGATTTGGGATTCCTGGTGAACAAAGTCTCTGCTCTCTTGGAGTTTTCCATCCAAGAGGCAGGAGACAAAGCTGATAATTATGTGCCAAAAGGGGGAAAATACTATAGGAAAAAAAAAAAACAACAGTCTGTTGGGGGAAGGGGTGGGAGTGCTCTGTGTGCATTGCAAATTAACTGGTACAGTCCATATAAGGCCACCATGAGGGAGAGATCTGAGCAAAGGGGAAGGGAGCGAGGGAGTCAGCCATGAGTAAAGATCAAGAGATGGTCTTACAGTCAAGAAGCCAGTGTGGCTGGAATGGAGAGTAAAAAGAGATGAAATCAGAGGAGTGCGAAAACTTAGGCTTTTATTTTGAGAAAAATTGAGAATTACTGAACGGTTTTCATAGATTAAGGGTTTATGGAGGTAGAAGAGTTTAGCTCTTCCTCTCCACCAGAGCAGAAGGGTCACATCTATGGCTGTGCTTGCAAAGCCTGCAAAGGAAAAGGTGCTGCTGGATTCTGCAGTCTGCAAAGCTGTTCTGTTTTCAGATTGAAGATACTGCAGTGTTTCTGAGGTATCTTAGTGTGTATATGATACATATGAAATGTAACAAAGTACAGTCAAACTTGAAATCATTTTTTTTTAAATTTTTTAAAAAGTTTATTTATTTAAGCAATCTCTGTACCCAACTTAGGGGTCCAAACTCATGACCCCAAGATCAAGAGCCGCATGCTCTACCAACTGAGCCAGTCAGGTGCCCCAAACTTTATTTTTTTTAAAGATTTTTATTTATTAATTTATTTGACAGAGAGAGACACAGAGAGGGAACACAAGCAGAGGGAGTGGGAGAAGGAGAAGCAGGCTTCTCGCTGAGCAGGGAGCCCCATGTGGGGCTCGATCCCAGGACCCTGGGATCGTGACCTGAGCCGAAGCAGACACTTAACGACTGAGCCACCCAGGTGCCCCAGGTGCCCCAAACTTTAAATCATTTCTAAGTAGGTGGGACATCACTGGTACTATTCTACTTTTGATGTGAATAAAACAGAACATTGATATAAAAATCTAATTACTGAGATTAAGTCACATAGTCATACAGTTCTTTGCACAGCATACATCTGAATGCTTTGTGAAAAGGGACAGATCTTTTAATGTCACCTGAAATATGCATAAAGACCTCAAGATTTTTAATTGTATTTATTTTCATTCTCTATCTATCTATATACTAAGTGTATGTTTAAATAGCTTCTTTTTAAATATCTCAGTGAAGAACCTGACAATTTTCAATGCTTTAAATAGGAAGTTCTTACCTATTGTCTTTGATTGGAGATTTTCACTAGTTAGTTGATTAAAAATAGATTCTGCTGCCAAAATTCCACTTTTCATTGCTGTGTGGGTACCTTTGATCTTGGGAACATTCATGAAACCAGGACTACAACCAATTAGTAAGCCACCAGGAAAGGTGAGTTTTGGTATAGACTGAGGAAAGAAACATTCAAAGTGCATTTTTAGCTTAAACAAAACTGAATACTACAGATTATTATCATCTCTTAAAGTCTTCTAAAGCTGTAGGGAAAAATGTGAAGGGAAAAAATCAGAGCAAGGGCAGTTTTTTCCCCATTTCCTAAGAATGAGGATTAGAACTATTACTATTTTTCTAAGACTTTTCCCTCTTCTTCCCCATGACTAACCTATATGAGACAGATTTAGGACCATATTAAATAAAATGTTATTTTTACATATCCATGTCTAAAAATACTCCCTAAACCTAAACAACTATTATCTAAATTGTAATCTGCTTTTATGTGCATTCTCAGTAACACATGATTTACAAAAGAATGTTAACTCTATATGTCCTTTTTGTTTTACTTTGATATCTAGGGATGGAAACTTAGGTTCTCATCATGGCATCATTACAATTAGCTACTTCCTTAAAGAATATATTTTAATATATGAATTTATGATTATGGTTCTCAGACTGAATTCAATATTAGAACCACCTAGATAAAAGAGCATGAAATCAGGATCACAGAGTAGATAAGATGGGGGAGGGCTTTCTGGAATATTACTAGCTGAAAAGAGGTAACAGGAATTTGGATAATGACAACACTTTTCTTAAATAGGGCTGTGGCCTTGCTAACACTAAGTTTGATTTAATAACCAGAAGACTGTGAAGTTTAAGAAAAGGACATGGATTACTAGTGCAAGGTCTTCCAAACTGGTCAGCATAAGTCGTACGAATAAAAGTCTTATGGCCCAAGCAAACATATTTTTACATCCTGGGAGGATCCTACCCTGTAGGGGCAGTGTTACTGGCAGCTGGGTATCTTGTTAAGGAACTGAGGAAAAGTTGCACTGAGAAATGTATTCTAGGATATTCATTAAACCACAAATTATTGGAAACCCTCCCGAAAAGGTAAGTTTTGGTACAAACTGAAAAAGAAAAAGTCATGTATATAGAAACAACCTTATTTATAAAGAGAACTGGTGGTTGCCAGAGGGGAGGTGAGTGGGGGGGACGGCAAAATATGTGAAGTGGATTAAGAGGTATAAACTTCCAGTTATAAAATAATGATTTAAAAATTTTAAAAAGAGGGAAAAAAGTCATGTTATATTTGTTAGCTCAAAATAAAATCAAATGTTTTAAATCATTGCTCAAGGTTCTTCAAAAACTTACTAGAACTAAATTTCTGAATCTTTGACTAACTGAATCAGAAAATTTAAGTAAAAAGTGAGTGTGTGTGTATAAGTGCATGTGTGCGGTCAACTCTTCCTGCCATTCTAAAAAATCATCTGAGATGTTGAAACACACAAGGCAGATGTTTTTAAATACAGATCTGTATGTCCTATTGAATATACTGGGAACTTTATAAATTAAAAAGAGTAGAATTAGACTGACATGTATTATAGAGATTGTGCAAAAGAGCTGAATGGGCTTGAACATAGTTATGCAATTTAATAAATATTTGTTGCAAATGAATTACTACAGAAACAAAACCTCATGAGAAGTAATCCCATAGCAACAGAAGTTAGGGATACTGTTATTTTAAGATTCTAGTGATTATATTTATAATTTAACTATGATTTTACTTGACTTTATGAATTATTGTTACAGTAATAAAGTATTTGGAACTTCATTTTAAGGGTTAACTCCCCTCTCCCCCAATTTTCTACCATCTGTTACTTCTACAACAGAATTACGGAAAAAAAAAAAAAAAGATATCCAATCTATAAAATGCTCCAGATACCTAGAATATTAGAGACAGAAAGGATCATCTATAAAATAAAGGCCAGAGAAGATAAGTAACTTGCTTTAAATCACTTGGTATAAATTTTAGTAAGCTAATTTTTTAGATCATCTTACCTAATATTTTTACAGCAGTACTAACAGCTTTTATCATAGCTACCTAGGTTTTTTATCTCATTGACTATATATACTTAATACATTAACTTTTTTTTTATAACCATGCTGTTTTATAGCTTGTTTTTTTTATTTTTACTTAATGTCGTATCTTTAACATCTTTTCCATGTCAACATCTGCAGATGTACCCATCATATTTTTAATGACTACAAAATTCTTTGTATAGACTTGAGCTACCAGTTTCTTCTTTTTTTGTATGTTATATGTATTATATGCTGTATTCTTTTTTAAAATTTAAATTCAACTAATTAATATATAATGTTACATTAACATAAGATTTATTATGAACATATACTAAAATAGACAATTAAGGGCAAAAGCTTGCCAGAGGCCACCTAAAAGGCATGGATGTTACTAGGTAGTTGGGATGAATTAATTACCTTTGTGGAAAACTAAATCTTTGTTTCCTGGCAGCTAAGGAATAAAAGAAAATATCTTTGGATCATATAGTTTTAATTTTCTGGCTAAAAACCAACCAACCAACAAAAAGCCTATAAATTTATCTCAAGAAATCAATACATTCTTAAAACTAAATTCATGGTGTAATTTTATTTAACTATGGTGTAACACAGTTTTATAAACACTAGATGCTCTGATTAAAGTTTCTTCCTATGACATAATTTTCTATTCTTTATCTGAATTTATTACATTATATTTTCAATGTTTATAATACAGAAATAAGAAAAAGTTGGATGAGTTACCTGAAAGCCACCTTCATTCAGGGCTCTGGCTCCATATGCAATCCTTTTTCCACCTTCCAATGTTGGCTGAATGCTGGGATGGTGTTTCCACCTCTGGAACTCTTTAAATGGGCTCAAATATGGATTCTGGTAGTCTAGACCAACCTTAAAATTTTTATATTTAAATTTGGTAGATTTATACAATTAGACATTTTTATTTCAAATTATATCAAGCTAAAATGTGATCAATATTTATAAGAAAACATGTATGTTAAATTTCTTGTATTCAAAGTACTTGGAGAAATATATGCAGTAACCCAAACTTAAATAAATGAATAAAATCTGTTTGGAAAAGAAAGGGTAAACAAAAGGATACCTGTGTTTATAATTGGCCAAACTTTAAAAATTTAGAACATATTAATAAATCATTGTGCTCTGTAAATAAAAGCCCAAATTAGAAAAATATTTGTAGGTAAGTGTCTAACATTATGTTTCTACAAAAGGAGTTGTAATTATTTTTCATTTATCAGTACCCATTCTAGTAATCAACTAATAAGCTATCTGTGGTACTAATGAGGCAAAAATGAAGAAACAGAACGTAATCATACTTAGAAAAAAGAGGACAAGAAATATAAGAAGTTACATTTTATAAGGCATTATCAAAATGCTGGAATTAATAACCAAATCTTTTTTGCTTTGAAAAAATTAAGTCACTGGAATAATCATACAAAGATGAGAAACTGAACACTTGGCTGGGTGTCAAAAAACACCAATAATGCGAAAACTTAATAATGTGTCATATACAAGTCTAGCTATGACATTAAATTATAAAGCTGCCACCAACTGTAAGGTGCAGAAACCCTTATTTTTCCATTCCTTGCAATGTTCAAGATGTAGTTACTGCAAAGATGTAAGTGGCCAAAAAGGGAGAAAATGCTTACATTTTTTAAAAAGTTAAAGATTCAAACCCAGTGCTGATTTCATTTCTCGTGACAGCATGCCATAGTGAAAAATGGGCTTGGAAGTCACGCAAACTCAGGTGTGGATCCTGCCTCTGTCATTTAATGGGTGTATTTGGGAAAGTTGTGTAACTTGTTTGGACGTCAGTGTCCCGTCAGTAAAATAAGGATATACATACTTCACAGGACTTTTATGAAACTTATAATTCTCCGTGAAGCCTAGGGCATAGTGTTTGGCATTTAGTAGCTACCACCACAAAAGTTATGTGTGTTTAAAGCTACAGACCAATGCCTGTGACAGCCCCAAGCACTTTACCTACGGACAAAATTAGAAAGTGACCTTTAAATGAAAAGCATTCTACATGCTCCAGATTTTATAACACTGATGATCCAAGGACTCTAACAGTAGAGTTTTCCAGAATGGGGCATGTAACTTACCACAAAACCAAGGGCTACCAGAGGTTCGCCTTCATTTAAATGGTAGAGGAAGGAGCCTCCATAAGTGTGTCTGTCCAAGGGCCAGCCGACAGTGTGATCCACTCTCCCTGGTTTCCACTTCTTTTCATCAATAATCCATAACTTAAAAAAAGAAGTCCTAGGGCATTATTTAAATTTTTTCTACCACCACAATATATCAAACTTGCCAGGTTTTATGTCTTAGTTATGAAAATTTCAAGGGAAAAACTGTAATAAGAGAAGAACTTCACATATCAAGAAAATTGTATCAAATAGCAGTATGATGAACTGAACTAAAAAACAGGTCAGAAAAGCTATGAACTCTTTAAGAAATTTCTTTAAGAAAATGATTAGATTTTCAAATTGGTAAGATTTTCATGCGATTATAGGGAACACCACTGAAGAGATGAGGAAAACTTCTGGGGTGTTGGTAATGTTCTAGATCTTGATCTGGGTGGTGGTTCCATGGGTATGCTCACCTTATAAAAATTAATTGAGCTGTACACTTATGATCTGCTGCTTTCCAGTATATATGTTGTTCTTCAATAAAACAGCTTTTGCTCTCCTACACTCCTCTTTTCCCAAATGAAACAAACTGTTCATCTATTTTCAGAATGGTAAGCTTTGTTTTTTTTTTTTTTAAAGATTTTATTTATTTATTTGACAGAGAGAGTGAGCACAAGCAGGTGGAACGGCAGGCAGAGGGAGAGGGAGAAGCAGGCTCCCCGCTGAGCAGGGAGCCCGAGGCGGGGCTCGATCCCAGGACCCTGGGATCATGACCTGAGCCGAAGGCAGACGCTTAACTGACTGAGCCACCCAGGTGCCCCTGGAATGGTTAAGTTTTAAATTTTTAAAAATTTCCATTTGAAATATCTAAAAATCAGATAATATTATGTGCTACGTGCAACCTACCAAAACAATAAAGCCTTTACTCACAATAAATCTAGCTATATACAGAATTGGAAATGTTCTGAGCTTTACCCCCAAAAAATTTAAACAGAAGCATTGTAATGAATCTTTTACACTCTAATAAGCCTAAGGTTTGGGAAAACAGAGATTGGATAAATTGAGAAAATATATTAAATTTAATCTAATTAAATTTTAGGTTTCAGATCAATACACTATGGCTATATTAAATTATCTTCCTAGTGCAATTTTAAAGAAACAATTCTTGTAGGATGTGGTCACCCTACAAACAGCATAGGGGTATTAAGTCAAATCTTATTAGGACAGATGGCATTACAATGAAAAGAAATTCATATTACAAATATTTTTGTGATTTCAAGCAATGTTTCTTAAAACAATGACAACACAGAAACAATTTAGGTAATAATGGAATTTGATTAGTAATATTTCCTAGCCCCTTAAAAATATCCCAAATATTTTTAGTTATGATGAACATTTCAAGTGAATGAAAAATATAGCAATTATAAAATTATATCAATGTTACAGACTACATTATAATACAAATGAGTTTAAACTCCATAGTTTAAAATTAAAATTACAAAAACAAATCCGGATACCTCCTTCAGTCCAATTCCATAGGTTTGGGGATCACAATTGGCTCGCAAATCAAACTTCTTATATAGTTGCTTGGCTAGATGTCCATGGCACCCCTCTGCAAAAACTGTGACTTTTGCATGTAGTTCTAGTCCTCTCTCAAATGTTGTCTAAAAAATAAAAAAACTAATGTTAAATTGCAGCATTTGACAATTCAAAAAATATTCACAATCTGGTCAGTTTTGAATTGAACTATGATTCAGGTATAGAAGAAACAATACAAATACATAATACTAGAAATAAAACTACTGTTGTAAGTGGAATCTAATTTAAATTTTATAATATATCCTGTGTCTTTGTTGTATTTTTCTTTTTTACTTCCAAAGTACCTGAATGGTTAAGTGTGTAAGAATTAAAAAAGCAAATAAAGCATGCTCATGCTAAAAATATTCTCTACAAATGAAAATAAAGTGAAAAGTGAAAATCCATTTCCCCCCTGCTCCTGGTTTTCCAGCTCAATCATCTGAAGCAAAAAACACTATCAAAAGCTTTCTTGTGAATCATGACAGAAAATTTCCATGAATAAAAAACCATATAGGGCCTATTTATATCCTTCTAACACAAGTAGAATGATACTAAATATACTCTTTAGTTACTTGCTTTTTTCACTTTAATTTTACTTGTTCTCTATTGCTGAATGTATATTCTAAAACAGAATTTTTTTTCCAAGTGGAAAAAAAGCAGTAATTAAAGTCTTTACCTCTCTTTTGCTCTCTGTATTTTGTACTTACACCTACCACAAGGCACTCAATAAAGTTACTTAATAAAGGAATACAGAATAATCAGTGAAGTCTCTTATGAAATATATCTTTTCTGATAGTTCTCTATTCATTCTATGTGCATGTCTGTGTATATGCAAAGACAAAAAGTAGTTTTACACTGAGTTTTATAACTGTTTTCACATTAGTTGAATGTATACACCAAGAAAAGAATTCTTTTTTTTTAAATAGAGAGAGCTCACGAGGAGGGGTTGGGGCAGAAGGAGAGTCTGGAGAGAGATTCCTAAGCAGGCTCCATACCCAGCACAAAGCCCGATGCTGGGCTCAATCTCAGGACTCTGAGATCATGAGGTGAACCAAAATTAAGAGTAGGGCGCTCAACTGACTGAGCCACCCAGGCGCCCCTAAAGCATTCATTTTTAATGCTTGAATAGATTCCCCTAATTTTTCAAATAATTTTCAATACTGGGACATTTAGGCTGTTCTAGTGTGTTTCACTATTATAAAGCATTGCCTAGATGAATATACTTGGTGCTAAATATTTTCAGTCTGAATGGTAAGAATTATCTCATTATTAATTTAATAAATTAATGGATTACTACAAAGTCTGAACATCTTTCACACATTTATTGGTAACTATTTTTTTCTTGTGCAATGCTTTTTAGTGTCATATATATGCATACATGTATATTACAGTTACATACACATCCTGTAATTTCACTCAGTATCTTTTTATTTTGTTCTTGCTTGCTCACTCTCATTATACTTCACTCATCCATAAACCATGTTAACAATCCAGTATGTACAGTTTTACCCAAATATCTAAACACACATACATACTGAGATACATATACACTTAAGCTTTTTTGGTTCCTGATTTATTTTACAAAAAATAGGATAATTTAATACTGTATCTTACTTTTCTCACTTAAGAATACTTCATGGAAATCTTTTTACATCATTGTAGAGCTCAAATCTTTCTCTTCAATGGCTGGATAGTAGTCCATGTGAAAATACCATAGCTTATTCATCTATTCTGCTAATGTTTAATAGCCATTCACTCTGTTCCCAGTTTATTTGTGACCAGAAACAGTTATAAAACATACACCCTTGTGTATATACCTGTATCTATATATAGATATATTCTTTTTTTTTTTTTTT